GTTCATCACTCTTTGTTGTACAAGATGGCTGTGGAGATGAGCCTTTGGGTGGAAACAAGCTATCTTTCAGGGAAAACTGCCCGCCGTTGCTGCTGTTTGCAAAGCCCAATCCCTCAAGATTTCCAAGGAGCCCTTTGGGTACCCTGGAATGAAGTTTGATAATCACTGGCCTGTAACACCATCTTTGAGTGTTTGATGAATCCCATGTGTTCATCACTCTTTGTTATACAAGATGGCTGTGGAGATGATCCTTTGGGTGGAAACAAGCTGTCTTTCAGGAAAAACTGCCCGCCGTTACTGCTGTTTGCAAAGCCCAATCTCTCAAGATTTCCAAGGAGTCCTTTGGGTACCCTGGAATGAAATTTGATAATCATTGGCCTGTAACACCATCTTTGAGTGTTTGCCTATATGATGGTGTTGCCAGGTCCTCCCCGGGCACCGACAGGGGTTCGGGGGGGGGGTTAAGGTTGTCAGCTCCAGGTTGGGAAACTTCCAGAGATTTGGGGATGGAGCCTCGGGAGGACTGGGACCTCAGTGGGGCAGAGTGCCAGAGTCCACCCTCTGTAGCATCCATTTTCTTCAGAGGAACTGATTTCTGTAGTCTGGAGATTGGTGTAATTCTGAGGGATCCCCAGGTCCCACCTGGAGGGTGGCACCCCTATTATACGGGGATGCAGGCTCCCCCATATGAAAGCCTCCTCCATATGAAAGCCTCCCCAAATGTGGAAGGCTTATCTGTAAAGGAATAGAAGGCCCAGGATGCATAGCTTCTCACATATTGTGTTGGCGGGGTTCAAATTCATATTCAGTTTACTACTACTACTACTTCTTCTTCCTTCTTGTTCTTCTTCTTGTTCTTCTTCTTGTTCTTCTTCTTGTTCTTCTTCTTGTTCTTCTTCTTGTTCTTCTTCTTGTTCTTCTTCTTGTTCTTCTTCTTGTTCTTCTTCTTGTTCTTCTTCTTGTTCTTCTTCTTGTTCTTCTTCTTGTTCTTCTTCTTGTTCTTCTTCTTGTTATTTTTATTTCATTCCATTTTTATCCGTCCCTCCCTGCGAACAGGCTCAGGGCGGCTCACATTCATTGGCACAGAACATTTTAAGCATTTTAAACGTTTAAAATAATCAAAGTGCTAACTGAAGTAGCCATTTTTCGTTGATAAGATGGCGTATTATATGATGTAACGCACACGATTTCCAGCTCAGTAAAACTTCTGGCAACACACGGCGGTGTAACTAATCTCAAACCCGGGCCAGCCCACTACCGCAGAAGTTGGTGGTAGTGCTGGGTGGCTCCTAATTAAAAGCCTGGTGGAAGAGCTCCATCTTGCAGGCCCTGCAGAACTGCAAAAGATCCCGCAGGGCCCTGATCTCCTCTGGGAGCTCATTCCACCAGTATGGAGCAGCCACTGAAAAAGCCCTGGCCGTAGTGACAGTGAGCCTGACATCCTTAGGCCCTGGGATGGCCAATCAGTGTTGTGACCCTAACCGTAGTGCTCTCTGGGGTATTTATGGGGAAAGGCGGTCCATCAGGTATGTCGGACCCTGGCCACATAGCTCACAAGGGAGGTTGTTAAAAGGATAAATGTGGGATTGGGCCCCTGAACTCCTCAGAAGTGCTGGGAACAAAATCAAGAGACTTTATTTCCAACCACCACTGAGGAAAATACTATGTTAGGACATTTCTGCCAGTGTGAGCAGTGGTTGCTAGCTCTGGGTTGAGAAATACCTGGACAGCTGGGAGGTGAAGCTTGAGGAGCGCAGGAAGGTTGAGGAGTCCTGGAGGTTGGCAACCTTAGCATTTTATTGTCCATTGGCTACACTATCCCCTTATGGCCATGGTGGAAACCGCCATTACTTACGTTGCCATGGCAACATGTAGCCGTAGTGAAGTTAAGTATGCTGTAGGTCAGCCAGGCCCCAACGAGGCCCATGAACCAAAGGTGAGTGTCAGGCATGTCCCAGAATCCTTTGCAACACGCCTGGCATCCATTTTAAGCATGGGGAATTTCACATTACCCAGTTTCTCCCGGTTTCAAGCTGGTGATCTTCCGTTTTGAGGTGAACCGGTACAGGGCTGCCATTTCACACATGGCTTGCCCCTACCGGAAGTGAGCCGGAACAGAAGCGGTTTGGCATTTCAGACACGCACCGCTTTGTTTTCCTGCTGTTTTCTCCCCGCGCGGACGGGCGGTTTTTTTTACCGTAGTGCTCTCTGGGGTATTTATGGGGAAAGGCGGTCCATCAGGTATGTCGGACCCTGGCCACATAGCTCACAAGGGAGGTTGTTAAAAGGATAAATGTGGGATTGGGCCCCTGAACTCCTCAGAAGTGCTGGGAACAAAATCAAGAGACTTTATTTCCAACCACCACTGAGGAAAATACTGTTAGGACATTTCTGCCAGTGTGAGCAGTGGTTGCTAGCTCTGGGTTGAGAAATACCTGGACAGCTGGGAGGTGAAGCTTGAGGAGCGCAGGGAGGTTGAGGAGTCCTGGAGGTTGGCAACCTTAGCATTTTATTGTCCATTGGCTACACTATCCCCATATGGCCATGGTGGAAACCGGTGAAGAGTTAAGTATGCTGTAGGTCAGCCAGGCCCCAACGAGGCCCATGATGAGGCCTGAACCAAAGGTGAGCGTCAGGCATGTCCCAGAATCCTTTGCAACACGCCTGGCATCCATTTTAAGCATGTTTCTGTGGGAACAATGATAATTTTTGAAAAACAAAACTCTCGATTTAGACTGTGCCACAGGCCCTTCGCCAATTTGTAAACCGCTCATCTGTTATTCTGGATTAATTCTGGCTAAAACAAAAATGAATACTGTTTAAGTCTTTTCAGTCGGTTAGATTTAAGGATTCTGAGAGGCTTTCCAGGTTGAGGAGTCCTGGAGGTTGGCAACCTTAGCATTTTATTGTCCATTGGCTACACTATCCCCATATGGCCATGGTGGAAACCGGTGAAGAGTTAAGTATGCTGTAGGTCAGCCAGGCCCCAACGAGGCCCATGATGAGGCCTGAACCAAAGGTGAGCGTCAGGCATGTCCCAGAATCCTTTGCAACACGCCTGGCATCCATTTTAAGCATGTTTCTGTGGGAACAATGATAAGTTTTGAAAAACAAAACTCTCGATTTAGACTGTGCCACAGGCCCTTCGCCAATTTGTAAACCGGTCATCTGTTATTCTGGATTAATTCTGGCTAAAACAAAAATGAATACTGTTTAAGTCTTTTCAGTTGGTTAGATTTAAGGATTCTGAGAGGCTTTCCGGGGTCCTGTAACATGCCCGGGCACGGCGTCGGTCTTTATGTTCGCTCCCGGCCCACCGTTTTAATCCGCTAAACAAAACCAACTCTCTTGACTTTATTTCAAATTAAATCAGTGTTGTAATATTTGTTGCCTCGTACGCGTCCGAAGGTCTTTAGAGGCATTTCAGTATAAAATGAGATTAAGGGCCAGCTCTTGGCATGAGATTGAGGCAGTGACCGGATTTTTTAAAATCTTGATTACTAATTTAAAGTAACCAACAGTAGCATTATTTTGGGGGGGGGGGGAGAAATGAAGTGGGGCATACTTGGGGTTACTTAGGCCTGAAATGTAACCTGTTAATCTTCTCGACACACGTGCTGCTTTAGGAGGGTATTCTATAACTCACAGCAAAGCGCGGCCTTGGAAACAGTTGGCGAGAGCCACCCGTATTCCCCTCTTTCTCCTACAGTTTCTGCTCTCTTGCCCACCCCAAAAAAGGGTTTTTATGTATTTAAATCATTTCTATCTCTCCCGATTTCATCTGATTTAAAGGCAGCTTTCCCAGCTCCCTCACTTCTGTCTTTAAAGGCAGATAACACAATTATGAAACTGTGAAGGGGTGTGGGATAGGGAATACGTTTTTTGTTCCCATCTTTCTGTCTCGTAATACTTAGAACGCCAGTTCATTCAGTGAAGCTGGATCAGTAGAAGGTGTGCAAGTAGTGAAGGGGTATGTTTCCTGGCATAGAACACACACATATAACTGTCATAATGGACATTAGTCTAAGGTGGCTCTTTAAATAAAAAAAAAGTTAGAATGCCAGGACTTTTCATTGGCTAGAAACAGAGGCCAGAGGGTAGTAAGGCCACCAAGGGGGGGGGGGAGAGTCAGGATCCATAGGGCACATACAGCTTTTCAGAAGTCTGGTGTAGTGGTTAAGTGTGTGGACTCTAATCTGGGAGAACCAGGTTTGATTCCCCAATCCTCCACTCACAGCTGCTGGATGACCTTGGGCAAGCCACAGTTCTGTCAGAGCTGTTCTCTCAAGGACAGTTCTGGAAAGAGCTCTCTCAGCCCCACCTACCTCAGAGGGTGCCTGTTGTGGGGAGGGGAAGGGAAAGGAGATTGTAAGCCAGTCAGAGACTCCTTCAGGTAGTGAAGGGTGGGGTATAAATCCAATCTCTCCTCTCCTTCTCAGACATCTGTTCAGTACTGACAGTGTGAACCATGGAACTAATTCATAAGAACATAAGAGAAGCCATGTTGGGTCAGGCCAGTGGCCCATCCAGTCCAACACTCTGTGTCACACAGTGGCCAAAATCCAGGTGCCGTAAGGAGGTCCACCAGCGGGGCCAGAACTCCAGAAGCCCTCCCACTGTTGCCCCCCAAGTACCAAGAATACAGAGCATCACTGCTCCAAACGTAATGTTCCGTCTATACCTTGTGGTTAATAGCCACTGATGGACCTCAGCTCCATATGTTTATCCAGTCCCCTCTTGAAGCTCTCTGTGCTTGTAGCCACCACCGGTTACTGCGGCAGTGAATTCCATGTGTTATTGACTCTTTCGATTAAGAAGTACTTCCTTCTGTCTGTTCTAAGCCTTGTGCTCATTAATTTCATTAAGTACCCATCAGTTCTTGTATTGTGAGAAAGGGAGAAAATTCAAGCATTGTCCTGGGATAACTGTGTAAATCAGTGGCATCTCTTCTCTCCTTTCATTTACAAACGCTTCTTCTTTTTCTTCTCCTGTCGGTCTAGGATCAGTTTTGGATGTTATTAAGCATATCGTGGCGAAAGGAGAACACAAGAATGGAGTATTGGATGAAGCAACGATAGCCACAATCCTGAGAGAGGTATTGGAAGGGCTGGAATACCTGCATAAAAACGGACAGATCCACAGGTGGGTTGTGGTAGCTTTACAGTCGTGGCTCGTTTCCGTGGCATTTCCGGTAAGCTGAAAGCGCTTTATGCTCTGTCTCTTTGTGAAGGGGGTCACATCTGTTCCCATGTTGCATGTTCGCAGCCAGGTGTCATCTTCAAACCCCTCTTACTGGCTTCAAGGTGGCAGCGGGCTGGTTGCTGTTGGAAACAGGATGTTAAAGAGTAGAGGCGTGGTCTGATTCGTCAGGGCAACGGTCATACTCTTAAAGGAAAAAGGAATTTAAAGAAAAACAAAGTGGATGGAAGAGTGCATGTTAGTGTCTAGAAAGAGAAATGTGACTTTAGTTCAGCTTGGTGTAGTGGGTTAAGTGCGCGAACTCTAATCTCGGAGAACCGGGTTGATTCCCCACTCCTCCACTTGCACCTGCTGAATGACCTTGGGCAAGCCGTAGTTCTGACAAGAGCTGTCCTTGAAAAGAGCAGTTTCTCTCAGAGCTCTCTCAGCCCCACCTACCTCACAGGGTGTCTGTTGTGGGGAGGGGAAGGGGAAGGAGTTTGTAAGCCGCTCTGAGACTCCTTTGGGTAGTGAAGGGCGGGGTATAAATCCACCTCCTCCTCCTCCCTCTTCTTCCTCTTCCTCCTCTTCCTCCTCTTCTTCTTCCTCCTCCTCCTCCTCCTCCTCCTCCTCTTCTTCTTCAGAAAACCTTTGTGCCTCCCTAAGAAGGTACACAATCTTATTTTGAGCCGTAGAAATAATTGTTCAGATACACATACACATGACGCTGCCTTATACTGAACCAGGACATTGTTCCAGCCTGAGCGGTGGGTGTTGCCTTCTGACACACTTCCGGTGATGCCCGGGGGTGTGGCATATGCAAATAAGTTATGCTAATGAGTTATGCTAATGAGCCCCTGCACCTCTTTTTCTACGAAATGACCCCTGCTGAGAGGGATTCCATCCTGTTCTCCTCAGACCAAGGGTCTTCTCACGCAAGGTTTTTAACTGTATGCATAAGTGGCCCAGAGCCATTTCTGGGCCTTCTGTCACAACGGCAGTTATGGTGCGTGACCCTGAGAGATTGCAGATATCGCCGGTACCTGTTGCTGTGGGTTGTGTTGGAGCTTTTCCTAGCTGCAATAGTTATGGTAGCTACTTCCAGTTATGAACCTGGACACTGCAAAATATATGCCGTGTTTATCCATTCAAGCGAATCCTCAAAGTTCCCAAGTGATCTAAGATCAACAAAGTGATTCCAAGTGAATGTAACTAGACTGTCACATTCACTTTCAGGTTAAAAATGGAACAAACTAAGAAGGGGGAGAGGCAGATCAAGCGATTTTGCGGGGTGTCACACGGCTCACAGGAAGCAATAAAAGCTCCAAGAAGTGCATTCAGTTCAGTACAAAAAAACGATTGTTCCTTTCTCGTAAGCTTTGCTCCAGCTTGGAATGTGTGAGCCATAGATCTCACCTTCAGTGGAAAAGCTGGACAATTAAGAGTCGTGGCCCGGCCAGGGCAGGGGAGGTGAGCACATCTGTCCAAATTTGGCACTGAGCTTATTGGCTGTGCAGGAAGGAGGAGTGGCTTTCTGGATTGGAGCCTTTTTAGTTACGATGTATGTCGGGCATGTGATTTGGAAGGAGAGCGGAAAGAGCTGAGCTGTCACCGTTAGCAAATGAGCACGGTCCTTACGATAGGCGTGCTTGGCGTTAGACCCGGTAGAATAGATGGTGTTAATTTAGGCAATTCCTTAGAGGGAAGCAATGGGAGTTAACCACATGTGGAGACGACTTGATGAACGTGTTGCATGTGGAGACGACTTGATGAACATGTGGAGACGACTTGATGAACGGCCCAACAAGACACATTTGCTGTCGTCCCCGTCCCCCCCCCCATTAGTTTTGAATATTTTCCTGTCCTCCCCACCTCCATTCAGACCAGTGTTCCCTCTAAGCTGAGTTAGTGTGAGCAAGCTCACAGTTTTTTAGCCTCCGGCCCACACCTTATTATCTCGGCTCAGGAAGGACGGCTCCAGAGCAACCTCATTTATGCAGCAGCCAAATCACTCGCTCACAACTTTAATGCCAGGAGCTCACAAAGTAGAATTTTTGCACACAAGACTCCGCAGCTTAGAGGGAGCATTGGCCACAGGTATGCAATCAGACATCATGAACACGCCAGAGTTGGTTTGTGACGAATACACATCGGGCTTACCTTTCTGACTCACATCGCCTCCTATCAGGACAGACTTCCCGGTATCTGACGAACTGAGCAGTGACTCATAAAAGCTCCTCCCCTGCGACATACTCTGTTAGTCTTTAAGGTGCTACTGGATTCTTGCTCTTTTCATAGAATAGAATCATAGAATGTTAGAGTTGGAAGGGACCTTGCAGGTCATCTAGTCTAACCCCCTGCACTCTGCAGGAGCGTAGCCGAAAGATAGATCTACAGCATACTCGAAAGATGGTCCTCCAGCCTCCACTTGAAAACGTCCAGCGAAGGAGCATCCACCACCTCCCAAGGCGGTCACAAGAAGCAGCAAAAGTAAATAGGCAAAGAAAACAAGGGTTTGAGAACCTGAAAAAACAAATACATTTACAAGAGAATATTATGATGTCTAAAGTAAATAATGATGGAGCAAAAAGAAGACTAAAAATGTTACAACATCAGATGAATTGTTTATTGAAAGAGGAGATAGCAAAGAAATTATACTTTGCAAAACAAAACTTTTTTGAAAATGCTAACAAACCCACTAGATGGGTAGCCTATAAAATTAGTCAACAGAAGGAAAGAACTTTTATTAAAGTCCTGAGAAAAGATGGGAAGAAAATCTATAGAAATGAAGAAATCAAGAAAGCTATGGAGGAATATTATAAAACGCTTTATGGGAAAACGACAGTGAGCACGGATAAAATCCAAAGTTTCTTGCTTTCGAACTGCTAGGTTGGCGGGAGCTGGAACCAGAGACGGGAGCTCACTCTGTCATGCGGCACTTGGGTCTCGAACTGCTGAACTACTGACCTTCCAGCCTGCAGTTCAGCGTCTTAACCGCTTGAGCCTCCACAGCTCCATATAATCTTACAAGCCAGAGGACCAGATTTGGCCTAAGGCATCTCCTTGTGCTGAATTCTTATACAGGAAGAGAGTTGGGTCTCTGCAATTCCTGTGCAAATGCACCCGGTGTCCATGCCTGTTGAAAGATGAACTGGCGAGCGGCTTCTTGATGGTTTTGAAAGGCTGCCTTGCTTTTGAGTGCAGCACGCAAGCGTCAAGCCAAGAAACCCTGAAGCCACCGATATGTTCTGTGACTAAGGAAAAAGGAGGTTGCTCCTAGGGGCGTGAGTGACAAGCTGTGCTGGCTCAAATATTTTGCACCCCTCCCAGTTTGGGACACTTGACTTGCTCCTGCATTTGATCATGGATTATTATCAGGAGTCGGGTTCCTCGTCGGATGATTCCACGCAATCTGTAACCAAAGCAAACCGGAGCAGTGTTGGGAAATCAGCAAGCCAAGTCCAGAGCTTAGAAGGAAACCTCTTTCAGATGGTTCTTTTTATGGCTTTCTGACAGGCATATCATTGTCACCTTAACGGGGCAGCGAGGCTGCTCATTCTCTGAGCTTAAGGTGTCCTCTTGTGTAACTGAATGTTTAGACAAGGTTAGAGAGGAAGCGATAATATACAAAGTGGCTTTAGATGGCTGTACGGCCTCAGGGGGGCAGAACTTCTGATATGTCAGCGTTTTTGGCACGAGAGACCTCCCGAGGTTCATTAATGTGTGGCTGAAAGGCGAGGGCTCGCCATAAAATGTTGTGAAAGCAGATAGTGTGCATTGAAATGTGGGGAGGGGTAGTTGCCGATCATGCTCTGCAGACCCGGCGAGAGCTCTGTCTTCTGTCTGGTTTTTGTGTTGGGTTAGAGTTTGTCGTTCCTAGGCTGCAGAATGAATATCCTCAATGGTTTAGGAATGCCCTTTGTCGTCTTGTGGTCTCTTCTTACATTTTCAAGCGACAGACCCGGCCTTTCCCACAAGGGGAACTGTGGAGACACGCAGCCGATCCCAAATCACGTCTGCGTGATGCGTAAGCTTTCAGAACCGATTGGCCCTCCTGAGTCTGAAGGAGGCCAGGTTGTCAGCAACCAGGGCCACCTCTGAAATGTCTCTTTCTCTTGCCTAAAAAACAAGTCTAGCTCGCCACCTAGTGGTGCACAACGCTAAAAGAGCTAGAACTTTTCGCTGCCAGACAATCTTAGGATCTCCTGACTATCCTACACATAATGCATTACGATAATAATTATTTTGAAAGAACGTAGGTTTGACCCCCAGATCTTCCTAGTCAAAGTGTAGCACTCTGTCAACCGCATTACATTGGCTCACCAGCTATGCACCAGAAGACATCCGTACACACCCCTAAGTATGTGCTGTGCATCCCGTTTCTTTTTTCCCCGTCTCCCCTCTCACGCTGCTTCCACTACATTGTCTGGGATATGGTTTTGTTAGATGCACTCCCTCCTTTCAGTCAGTCAATCTGTCTGTCTGTCTCTCTTGCTGGTCAGAAATTCCAACTCGAAACGGCAAGAATATGCAGGGGAAACGTTAGCTGTAATCTCTTTGCCATGTCTTCCCAAGAGACGGCCAGGCCTCTGGCAGCGCAGAAACAGAACCCGGCTGTTCCGTAGGATACCGGCTTGAATTTCTGCGATGCTCAGTGATGCTTTGACAAGATTGCTCACAGATGTTGCGGCTTTTAAAAAAAAAAAAATTAAAAGAGGAGAAAATTCCATTTGGCACCGGGTGGCTGTGGAGGCCATGCAGCACTGTAGTTCTTTTGTCTCTTGCGATCCTCCCAGATGGGCTTCTCTCCCCCCCCACCCAATCCTCTTTTCTAGTATTGGGTTGTTTTTGCCTAAGGGAAATTGTAAGAGGAGAAGTCCAGCGGGAGCCAGGCCGGTTAGGAGAAGCGATTAGGTGAGAGGTTAGCGTAACAATGCGTGGAATCCTGCCTCGGATCGGGAGGA